TATATATATATATATATATTCTAATTACTATTAAAAATATATATTAACACGCTTTATTCTCATTAAGAGATATAGAATGTATTCATTCCGATTACAAAGGATGATTCCCGTATCTTCATTTTTTGTCACTACCTCCATGTTCCGGGAGTGGGAAATTTACGCGCCTGCTGCTTCCCTTTGATGTGGTAGCCATTTCTCAGACTACCTCTCCGGAATCAAACCCTGATTTCCCGTTACCCGTTACAACCATGATATTGATAGCAACTACTATCATAACATGAAACTAAAAAGTGAAAAATAAATATAATTTAAAAAAACACGCTTTTAAAGCACATCGAACTAAAAAATTAAAAATAATTTTTAAAATAAGCTTAAAACAATAATGAACAAAAAATACTAGTATTATTATGATAAAAGCGTGGGTGCTTTGTGCCATATTTTTCGTATATTGAGCGCCCGACGCTTCCCTATATACGAGGGGGGTTCAAATCTAAAAAATGCATGTAGAAAGTAGAACTTTTTCAACTTAACTTTTGAAAGTGTTTCGGAAAGTCTGACACTATTATATATATATTAAATTACACTTATAAATTCAATTGAAACATTAACAGAATAAATAATACAAACTGCTGGTTTTGTATTGTTATGTTATAAATAAGGATAGTAAAAATTATAAGAGTCTATCTGTAACTTCATACAGTCTTCTAAACCAACATGATCATCTTTTAAACAATAACAGCACCTGTAGATAAAAAACAGTATTAATTTGATTATTTTTGATATTAAACCATTCTATATTACCTTCGAACATAAGGGTCTCCAATTATTTCTACATCATAGGCCCATTTGGGCTGTGAATCATCAACAACAAATTTCACTTTTTGTGGATATTTAAAAGGTCGATCGAAACCTAAATTTAAATCTTCCTGAAAAAAATATAATTTTAAACTTTAGGATCTGTTTAATCAATATATGTTCACTTTTGTGCCTACATGCATATCTCGATGTTTTTAATTATTCCCAGGGAAACAAAAATACACTATTTTATATAATTTTAAATAGAATTTTATTTTATTCTTTAATATCGCCAGAAAAATATTCAAGATTTATTAAAATAATAAATAATTATTTTTTTATTATTAATTATTAATAATCAAAATCATAATAAAAACCATAAAATATTTCAAAGTTAAAAGCAGTTTTTAAGAATAAATAAAATATTATAAATATATAATAAAATAAAATCTCAAAATGTTGATTACCCAGTTCTGTCATATTATAGTGAAGACGATAAAATAATATGCTTACTCTATAGAACTTATAACATTGCCCATTATCTGTAGTTATCGTGCCAGAATTATTCTTTTTTCCGAAGAAGCATATTGTACCTTTTTTAAATCTACGTGTTTTAACTGGACGTAAGTAACACTCCATGTCTTCTAATTAATAACACATTAAATTGCAAAAATATTTATCTTAAAATGTTTAAGCTTTTATAAAAATGTATACAAAATTCAGTATTCAATGTATTACAATTTTAAATACAAACAATTTCTAAAAAACTTATGGTACCCTCTTCTTGCTTACTCTTTTCCACAATGGCTGCTCCTTCAATATCTGTCATGTTAGGCTCCGTCACACCAAGTTCGTGAACCTCTTTTTCGAACATTTCACATCCCTCCACAGTCTTGTTAATGTTATTGTCAACAATATTTACCATTTCATTAGACACATTTTCTAACGTCGTCGTTGTTTTAGTTCCTGAATCCTCGTTGTGCATTGTGCCAGATTTCATATCGTGATTACTATCTGGACTTAAGTAACACTCCATGTCTTCTAATTAATAACACATTAAATTGCAAAAATATTTATTTTAAAATGTTTAAGCTTTTATAAAAATGTATACAAATTTCAGTATTAAATGTATTTCAATTTTAAATTCAAACAATTTCTAAAATACTTATGGTACCCTCTTCTTGCTTACTCTTTTCCACAATGGCTGCTCCTTCAATATCTGTCATGTTAGGCTCCGTCACACCAAGTTCGTGAACCTCTTTTTCGAACATTTCACATCCCTCCACAGTCTTGTTAATGTTATTGTCAACAATATTTACCCTTTCATTAGACACATTTTCTAACGTCGTCATTGTTTGAGTTCCTGAATCCCGAATATCATGTCTACTAACTGGACTTAAGTAACAGTCCGTGCTTTCTAATTAATAACACATAAAATTGCAAAAATAATTAATCTAATTATAGTTAATTTAAAAAAAATCATAAATGAATTTTTTAATACCGAATATATAAATCTACACTACATTTACATGTGCAAATAAATAGGTGTATTAATTCTACGTACGTTTGAAAACATTAGATATCGAGAGAATTTTTGTTGTCTATCGTGTTAAGCTAAATTTCATTAAAAAAATACCTGGACTAGACTAAGCTAAGATACTATACCATTTATATTACGCTGATTTTTGGAAAGACAACACGTAAAGGCCCTTGCCAACCGACGAAAGAATTTTTTTACCGTCATTGTAATTTGATTGTTTGCAAAAAATCAATGTATCAAAATACTTTTTTCACAATTTATTGTGACTGTTTTTAATAGTATATAGGCACAAAAGACTAGCTCTTCTGGACTAAATGCAACAACAAACTAATATGTATTTAAAAATAAACATTAGTGTATCCATGGTAACTCGATTTAGCATTTTTATGATTTGAAGCCACTTAAATATTATATTAACAGATGGTCAAACATAGAATTTTTAAAAAACTATGTTCCTAATTTATTTATTATTGAAAATTGCATAAAGTGATATTTTTTTATATCTACTTGTCTTCGTTGTTCTATACCCTTGGGACTCCACAACCCCGATAGAACCTTGTTACTCACAATTCAACCAAACCCCAAATATCCAACGCTAGTCAAAATACCCATACATTCGTACAACCTTTACAAACATTTTCACCGTATATAATTTATTTTTGTTAATTTAAATTATAACGAAATTTACCCTATATGCAGTCCACTAAAATATATACAGAATAATTTGGTCATTGAACCAGTGCCAAAGTCTTGATATTATATTGTAATACTGGTCATTATTATTAATAACTTGATGATTATGTTGACTTCGCCAAAATTAAAAATTATAAAATGTTCACATAAATTTAGTAGTGCACAATAGGTATTTAAAATTTTCATAAACATTAAATTAGAAAATCATTTGATCTATCGATTAATGGAATACACCTTAAATTAAAGCTTATGCGATATACTTTAATTTGACGAATAAAAATATTGACATCTCGAATTGCCTTCNTTATGCAATATACTTTAATTTGACGAAAAAAAATATTGACACATCGAATTGCCTTTATGGTGAAAATAACTGCCGTGTGTCAAAAACATGTTATTTTTGTGTTAAAATTCAGGGTTTTGTGTTTTATTTTATTTTAAAATACCTTTCTAAGGGGAGTACACAGATTTTCACAAATATTATATAAATATAATTGACATAGAATAAAAAGTTAAACATATTTAAATTTGTTTGCTTCTTTTAAGTCGAGAAAGATAACTTTGAAATTGCTATTTTTTGCGTCTTGCAGCGTACGGTTGCCGACTCGGCAAAACTTGTGTCTTACGCGTTTGGGGTACGATGTTTAAGCCCGCCCGTGACTTTGGATTTTTTTTCTTAATTCTTCTTGAGTCAGAATAATATTTTCAACTCATAGGATTTTTCTATCATTTAGATTCAATAACTTCAATAAACAAGTATTTATTCAAATATTATATTTTTAAATCAAAGAAACTAATCAGGATATAATTAAAGAAATAGGAGTTCATGTTGCTTTTGTAATTATCCACCAATTTCTTAGATTTAAACACTATCTATAGATTTACATCGAAGCGTTTCTAAGAATCTTTAATTAATGACAATATATTTATCACGAATTAGAAATAACATAGAATATTATTAAAATACATTATTTTTTAAGTATTAACTTTATAGCACATAAGTTTTATTAATAATTTAAAGCACTTATAAATTCAATTGAAACATTAACAGAATAAATAATACAAACTGCTGGTTTTGTATTGTTATGTTATAAATAAGGATAGTAAAAATTATAAGAGTCTATCTGTAACTTCATACAGTCTTCTAAACCAAGATGATCATCTTTTAAACAATAACAGCACCTGTAGATAAAAAACAGTATTAATTTGATTATTTTTGATATTAAACCATTCTACATTACCTTCGAACATAAGGGTCTCCAATTATTTCTACATCATAGGCCCATTTGGGCTGTGTATCATCAACAACAAATTTCACTTTTTGTGGATATTTAAAAGGTCGATCAAAACCTAAATTTAAATCTTCCTGAAAAAAAGATAATTTTAAACTTTAGGATCTATTTAATCAATATATGTTCACTTTTGTGCCTACATGCATATCTCGATATTTTTAATTATTCCCAGGGAAACAAAAATACACTATTTTATATAATTTTAAATAGAATTTTTTTTTATTCTTTAATATCGCCCGAAAAATATTCAAGACTTATTAAAATAATAAATAATTATTTTTTTATTATCAATTATTAATAATCAAAATCATAATGAAAACCATAAAATATTTCAAAGCTAAATGCATTTTGTTAGAATAAATAAAATATTATAAATATATATATATATAAAACCAAAATGTTGATTATCCAGTTTTGTCATATTATAGTGAAGACTATAATATAAAATGATATGCTTACTCTATAGAACTTATAACATTGCCCATTATCTGTAGTTATCGTGCCAGAATTATTCTTTTTTCCGAAGAAGCATATTGTACCTTTTTTAAATCTACGTGTTTTAACTGGACGTAAGTAACACTCCATGTCTTCTAATTAATAACACATTAAATTGCAAAAATATTTATCTTAAAATTTTTAAGCTTTTATAAAAATGTATACAAAATTCAATATTAAATGTATTTCAATTTTAAATTCTAACAGTTTCTAAAAAACTTATGGTACCCTCTTCTTGCTTACTCTTTTCCACAATGGCTGCTCCTTCAATATGTATCAGTGACCTATATGCATCTGGAGTGCTAGTTTGAATTTTTAATCTGTCTGCAGATGATTTGCAGACAAAGTTTTCAACACCGATTAATTCTACAAGTACTGTGCATAGTTCTGGAAAATCCTCGACACCTCTTACAAAAATCGGAGGAGGGGGTTTAATTGGTGGATTATTAATACACTCTGTCTGCATGTCAGTAGTAATGTTTTCAGTAGAAACATTGAGCGGGAAATCGAATTGATCATTTAACTGATTGGATTGTTGGTCTTCGTTTGAAGCGAGGGCTTCATAACGATTTGCTGAAGTGAATATTTTTTTTCTTGTTTTGGGAGGTTGTACACGTGGAGAGTTTGGTTCTGAATTAGTAGAACTAGAGAGATTTCTTTTAGATCTTTGTACAGTCCATCCTGCTTCTGATTGATTATTACTTGTGTCTAGTGATGAGTTGAAGGTTTTATTTTTACTAATTGTTAACGGGGATACGGTGTTATTTGTTATACTAATATCATTATTATTATTCTTGTTATTGATGTTATTTCTGCTAGTTNTCTTGTTGTTGATGTTATTTCTGCTAGTCATTTTAACTAGAATGTAATTATTATAATTAAATTACTAAATAAATGAAGTAACAATCACAATGCGATTGCAATAAAATAAATGAAGACGACGGTGGGATGCGATAACGTAATGTATTATTATTAATAATGAGACCGCCGAGGCGGCCGCCGATAAGACCGTATGCAATTGGGCTGCTAATATTACAGCTAGATGACAATTACCGTTCGATATTTTACGTTTGTTGCTGTGCACGAGACTTTAATTGAAAGTGAAGAATAAGTAGAGTGGTTACATAGACAAGTCACATCTTGATAACCGGTTTAGCAATAATAAACGGAAACACACGTTGTACGATAAGACAGTAACTTAGACCGCACTATACGCACATGCGTATCGAACGACGGCTATTGCGGCATTTGCTGGACTTTGTACTGTGACGTATGACATGTGGTGTTTGTCAAACAAATTATTTTATTCATACAGTAAGACGGCGGCCCACAAAGATGGCACAGGACGCGTGATTCCATCAATATATTATATTATTATATTAAATTTTCGCATAGGAAAGTTTGATTTAAAAAATTCATAAAAAATATATGGTTTAATTATGTTTCTATCATCTCTTTAAGGATAAAATACCTCAATTAATTTTCTTTAATGGATCATTTTTAGATTGACGACATGACAAAAAAAAATACTTACAAATGTGTAAGACAGTAGAATAACATCAATAAAACATGCTACTATAAATTTAATCAATATTCTGTTATTTTTCATTTTACCTCCCATTATAATTGCAAATTTTTAGCTCTACAACAGAAATAATAAAATTATATATGCAATTGACAAAAATTAAGTAGATATTATATATAATTTGTGAATCTATAAAAAAAAAACTGAGTTAGTTCTACTTAAACACCAGTTTATTCGTATTTAAATTAAAGAAATTAAAATGAAAACTTATAAGTTTAAATTTTCTGCATGGATAAGCCATTAATAAACGTAGAATTAAACTATTACGTAAAAGTAATAATGTAAGACTAATTGTCTATGAAAAAAAGATATAATTTATATATACAGAGTGATTTTTTTATTATAACCCACTCAATTACTTACAGAGTAATAATAATTTAAAAATTTTTTTTTATTATTATATTTAGTTACACATTATTGTTGAATTATTAACTATGTAATACATTTTAAGTTCATCCCTTATGTCTTGTAAGG